AATACTTCTTTCCTTTAATTAATTAAATTAATTCCAATAATCCAAAAATACCAATAATTAAATTTCCAATTAAATTAATAATTAAAAATTCTAATTATTTAATAATCGGATTATTTGGGGTGTCACAACTCTCCCCAACTAAAAGAGTTTTCGTCCTCGAAAACATACCTTAGACGAACAGTTCGGGATATGAGTCCTTCATCTGACTCTCCAGCTCCCAAGTGACATTTCCATTTGCTGGTCCTCCCCAAGCCACTCTTACCAACGCGATCTCCTTGCTTCGCAACTGTTTTAACTTCCGATCCTCAATTCTCGCAGGTACCGCTTCCACAGTCAAATTCTCTCGTACCTGTATATCGTCTACCCGAATCTCATGAGACGGATCAGCAATGCACTTCCTTAGCTGAGATACATGAAAAACATCATGCAAATTTGCAAGTGACGGAGGCAAAGCAATCTGATAAGCAACTTTCCCAACTCTCTTGGTAATCTGAAACGGACCAATAAAACGTGGAGTCAACTTCTTTGACTTCAAAGCTCGACCAATACCAGTTATCGGAGTAACTCGCATAAAAACATGTTCTCCTTCGCTAAACTCAAGATCTTTCCTCCTCTTATCGTGATAACTTTTCTGACGACTCTGAAAATTCCTCATCTTCTCCTGAATCATCTTAATCTTTTCCGAAGTCTGTTGGATAATTTCCGATCCAATCACAGCACTCTCTCCAGATTCATACCAACACAACGGTGTCTGACACCTCCTACCATACAATGCCTCAAACGGAGCCATACCAATGCTCGAATGAAAACTATTGTTGTAGGTAAACTAAATCAATGGTAGATAACTATCCCAAGCTCCACCTTTCTCCAACACACAAGCTCTTAACAAATCTTCCAACGACTGAATCGTTCTCTCCGTCTGACCATATGTCTGTGGATGATAAGCGGAACTCAAACGCAACTTAGTACCCAAAGCTTCTTGCAATCCCGTCCAGAATTTAGATGTAAACCTCGGATCTCGATCCGACACAATACTAGAAGGAATACCGTGCAAACTCACAATCTTCTCAACATACAATTCTGCCAACCTTTCCATCGGATAATCCATTCTTATCGGAATAAAGTGAGCAGATTTCGTCAACCGATCAACAATAACCCAGATAGAATCACAATTCTTCGATGTCCTTGGCAAACCAGACACAAAATCCATAGAGATTCCATCCCGTTTCCATTCCGGAACAAACAACGGTTCCATCAATCCTGACGGTTCCTGATGCTCAATCTTCGACTTCTGACAAACCAAACAAGCATACACAACTCAGCAATTTCCTTTTTCATTCCCGGCCACCAAAACAACTTCTTCAAATCATGGTACATTTTAGTAGCACCAGGATGAATACTCAATCCACTACGATGTCCTTCTTCCAAAATACTCTTCCTAATCTCTGCAACATCCGGAACACACACCCTATTACCAAATCTCATAACAGCATTCTCATCAATCCGGAACTCGCCTCCTTGACCTTGGTTGATCAATGTCAATTTATCAACTAACCCAACAGCGGACTTCTGTCCATTCCGAATTTCTTCCAGAATACCACTAGTCAATTTCAACATACCCAATTTCACACTATTCGGAGTAGTTTCACATACCAAACTTAAATCTTTGAACTGCTCAACCAAATCTAACTCACGGACCATTAACATCGACATATGCAAGGACTTCCTACTCAAGGCATCCGCAACAATGTTTGCCTTACCAGGATGGTAATTCAAACCGAAATCATAATCCTTTAGAAATTCTAACCATCTCCTCTGCCTCATATTTAACTCTTTCTGATCAAAGAGATACCTCAGACTTTTGTGATCACTGAACACCTCAAACCGAGAACCATATAAATAATGCCTCCATAACTTCAAAACAAACACAACAGCTGCCAACTCCAAATCATGAGTCGGATAATTCCTTTCATGTACTTTCAATTGTCTCGAAGCATAAGCCACCACCTGCTTATCTTGCATCAACGCACCACCTAATCCCATTAATGATGCGTCACAATACACAACAAAAGACTTAGTCGGATTTGGCAAAATCAAGATCGGAGCACTTGTCAACCTCCTCTTCAGCTCTTGAAATCCTTTCTCACATTCAACATCCCAAACAAACATCTGACCCTTCCTGGTCAACTTAGTCAACGGTAACGCTAATTTGGAAAATCCTTCTATAAACTTCCTGTAATAACCTGCAAGACCCAGAAAACTACGGATCTCAGAAGCATTCTTCGGCGCTTCCCACTGAGATACTGCTTCTACCTTCGTAGGATCCACAACAATTCCATTCTTGGAAATTACATGGCCAAGAAAACTTACTTCACTTAACCAGAATTCACACTTGGACAACTTCGCATAAAGCTTCTTCTCTTTCAACAATTCCAACACAACTCTGAGATGTTCTGCATGCTCTTCATCGCTCTTCGAATAAATTAGAATATCATCAATGAACACCACCACAAACTTATCAAGATACGGATGAAATATCCTGTTCATATACTCCATGAAAACACCAGGTGCATTAGTAACTCCAAACGGCATAACAGAATACTCGTAATGTCCATACCTCGCTCTAAATGCAGTTTTCTGAATATCTTCCAACTTCACACGAATATGATGATATCCAGATCTCAGATCAATCTTACTAAATACACAAGCTCCAACTAGTTGATCCATCAAATCATCGATCCTAGGCAAAGGATACCGATTCTTGATTGTAACTTTATTCAGCTGTCTGTAATCAACACATAATCTCATTGAACCTTCTTTCTTCTTAACCAACAACACCGGAGCACCCCACGGCGAAACACTCAGACGAATAAACTTCTTCTCAAGTAACTCCTCCAACTGTTTCTTTAACTCCGCTAATTTAGTTACCGACATACGGTAAGGCGCCATCGACACCGGACTAGTTCCAGGAATCAAATCTATAGTAATTTCTACCTCCCTCTCAGGTGGCAATTCACTAACATCTTTCGGAAACACCTCTGGAAATTCATTCACCGCTGGCAATCCATCACTCTTTGCTTTTCCCTCCGCTTCTATTGCAGAATACAACATAAATACCACAGCACCATCTTTCACATCTAGGTTCATCTGTTTAACCGACATAGTCACATCTTCGACACCAACCTCTTCAGGAAAAATAATCGTCTTCGCAAAACAGTTGATATGAACCTGGTTGAATTCCAACCAGTTCATTCCAAGGATGATATCAAGTTGTTCTAACGGTAGGCACACTAAATCCATACTGAAACCCCTACCAAAAATCACAATAGGACAATTCCTACAAACATACGAAGTAGTCACTGAACCCGACGCAGGAGTATCAATAACCATACTTCCATCCATATTAGAAATTTCCAAATTCAATCTTTTAGCACAATCCAAAGCAATAAAAGAATGCGTAGCTCCAGTATCAATAATCGCAATCAAAGGTATGTCATTAATAAAACATATACCTTTAATCAACCGATCATCTGGCTTAGTCTCTGACCCAGACAATGCAAACACTTTACCACCAGCTTGCTCCTTCTTGGGTTTTGTACACTGAGGACGAGTATGACCTTCTTCACCACAGTTGTAACAAGTCACCACTCTTACTCTGCAATCATTGGCCACATGGCCGAGTTTCCCACACTTGAAACACTTCTTATCATTACTTTTGTAATCCACCATACGATGTCCTGTCTCACCACACTTGTAGCACTTAATGGAAGAACTAGAATCTCCTCCACCAAACTTCTTCCAACCATCGGGTCTCTGATTACTTCTATCATAAGGCTTACCACGATCCATCTGTTGCTTACCCTTCCTATCAACATACCCTCGAGCATTCGACTTAGTGCTAGCAAGATCCTCCTCTAAAATCCTACTACAGTCAACCAGATCAGGAAATCTTCGGATACATTGATACCGAATACCCTGCTTAATCTCATCACGAAGACCATTCTCAAACTTGATACATTTGGAAAATTCTCCATCTGCATCGTTAGTATAATGAGCATAATACTTCGCTAACTCAGTAAACTTCGAAGCATACTCACTGACAGTCTTGTTACCCTGCTTGAGTTCCAGAAACTCAATCTCCTTCTTGCCTCTGATGTCCTCAGGAAAGTACCTCCTCAGAAAAGCCCTCCTGAACACAGCCCAAGTCAACGCAATACCATCTTCTTCCATTTCAGTTCTGGTAGCAACCCACCAGTCATCAGCTTCCTCTGCTAACATGTGAGTTCCGTATCTCACCTTCAGCCCTTCAGCACAGTCAATTACTCTGAAGATCCTCTCGATCTCCTTCAACCACTTCTGAGCACCACCAGGATCATGTGCACCCTTGAACAACGGAGGAATATTCCTCTGAAAATTCCCCAATTATCGGTCAGCACCAATCACAGCTCCCTGTTGGTTCCCTCAGAGTACTCAATCCAACATTCCCAATGCTTCAGCAATAGCATCGTTGTTTCTTCTGTTACCTCTTTCGGCCATTGTTCTGTAACATTACAAAACAACCTCATCGGCACACAAGTATCGACAGTGTCATCTTACACTAGTCGCATACAAAATGGATAACGACACAAGACAAGACCGACTATGCTCTGATACCACTATTGTAACACCCCTTCTAAAATACCCCGAATAATATTAATTATATCAATGATTAAAGACATATTCCATCAGAGTTAACACGGAACAAGGGATGTCACAATTATGAAATAAATAAAACTTCCAATAAAACAGTAGTCATGCTACACTGAGGGTCATTATTCAAATAATTCAATCAAATTAAGACCATGTCTTACACAGCGGAAAAATACCATAACCAAAACGGAATAAACCAAAACATAATTATTCCCAATGAAATTCAAAGAAACAATTGAATAATAACTAATTCCTCAACTAAACGTTCCCCAGTGTTACAACCTATCAGAGCACGACACTGACACGCGGACTTAAAGTAACATAGCTCTAGAGCCATCCTCACCAACTCCTGAGCTGCTAACTTTAATCTGAAATTGTTAAAGTAAGGGTGAGATTTCTCATAATTAACATGCATTATAAGCTTCTCAATCAACATTATATCACAAGCATATTATTTCACCCATTTTAGCATAAATTCAGATTCAACACGCAGTTCCAATCATACAAGTCATTACGCACAAATCAATAATCAACCAAAGAATTGTAACACTGGAAGACCTCCTAACATGTTACAATTCCATGCAAACACAAATGCAGACACAATGCATGTGGTACCAACACGTGACCAAGTCACCCAACACTGATTCATCATCAACCGGATACAGCAACCATTGATTCGTCCATAAACACCCGGACACGAATCCAGCCTAACCACCCATCATCACCCGGGTATCGGTTAACGGCAATACAAGTCAAATTCCATACAATGGGAATTAACTTCACCAAAACAATGCATATGCACGCACATCACTAGCATGCAACATCAAATCAGTCTATGAAATACATCAATTTATCATAACTGAACCAAAACAAAAAACATGATATCTCAACGATCATGCACACCATCATTAGCAACATAAACATGCCTTTCATTCACACAATACCAATACATCCATCCATCACAGGTTCACTGCTACATACACACCCATGTGTGTTAGCCAATAATCACTTATTCCGGGATTTGACTCATTTTCAAAATAATTTCAGGTTTTAGGAAATCTTTTCATTTTATAAAATAGAGCATTAAATTTAAGAAATAACGTCCAAAACGGCACTCAAAACGGACTTACGGTTTGAAAGTTATGAATTTTCAAAGTTTAATATTTTTCAAAAAGTTACAGTTTAAACCTGGTTCCTACATATGCAGGAACCGGTTCCTGCGAAGTTCAAAAAGCACGCTTCTGGAAAAATGTATGGGAACCCGGTTCCTCCCCACTGGGAACCGGTTCCCACGACCTGCAGAGTCAAATTCTGCACTTTTGACAGCATTTATTCATTCTAAACCAATTCCAAACATACCCATACGAATTGCAACATGAGAAACACCAAAACACATCCATTTTGCACCATTATAACATCAAACAACATTATTTCATCATTCCTTTTTATCATCTGACACCCTAATGGTTTTCAACCTACAATTCGACGCAATAGGGACAATTCTACGGAACCCTAGAATTCCAAATCGGGATTCCCTAACATACTATGATCCATACTATTGAATATCTAAACCGATAATACAAATTAACTAATCGAAATCACCCCTTACCTTGTGGGTTCTTCGAATTCTGACGCTTCCGGTTTTCTCCTTCTTTTTCCTCTTCTCAAATGCACGTATGATGAATATTCCAAAATAACTCTCTTTCTCTTCTTTTTCCTTTTAATACTCCTTTTATTATTCCAATAAAATAATTAAATTAGTAATTAGTAAGAGTAGAGTATTTTACCCCTCACACCCTCTAATCACTCTTCACACCACCAATACTTCTTTCCTTTAATTAATTAAATTAATTCCAATAATCCAAAAATATCAATAATTAAATTTCCAATTAAATTAATAATTAAAAATTCTAATTATTTAATAATCGGATTATTTGGGGTGTCACAACTAGGGTTTAAGATTAGAGGTTTAAGGATAGGTTTTAATTTTTTAATTAGGGGATTCACCATGATTTTAGTCGTATACCTATGTATCCTCTTGCGAAGAATCAGAGCCCATTTCATAGTTCGCGGTGTTGGTTGATGTTTTTTTATAGGATTGCATAGAATTGATTTCGAATTTATCCACGAACCTTGTCTGAGTTGTAAGTTGAGTGATCGTAGACGCAGTTCGCAGTTAATTTTGAAAGTTATTCTCCTTAATCATTTTTATGAAAATATCTTAAGTTTTTGTTAAGTTAGTAGAAAATGATTTGGTGTTAGTATTTGGTTAGCTGTTTTGAATTTTGGATATTAAGGGCCCAAGTTCAGAAATTGAACTTGGCCTAAATGCGTAGAAGGGGGTGTGAATATCATGGATACAAGTTCAGAAGTTAAACTTATCCCAAATAAACAGGGGTGTAATTTATGACTGGATAGTGAAATAGAGAGGTCTGACAGATAAGGGTTCAAGTTCAGATATTGAACTGGGCCCAAAACATATAGTCTCCCCATCATGTGGCTAGATAATGACCACGTGTTGCTTCCAGATGAAAAATTTAGTGAATCGCGTAGATTTTAATATTTTGATATAAAATATTGAATTAATTTAATTGTGTTTCTTTTAAAAGATTGTGATTATGTGCAAATTTAATTAAATTGGCTAATGACTGACTAGAGTAGATTAATAATTGGGTGGTGTAGATAAATAATGTTGGTTAATATTTAATAAAAGTATCTAGGCCCAATATCAAACTCATCTATAATAAAATAAAAAATACATTAAAAAAAAAAAGAAATATAAATGAATAAAGTAATAAGAATTTAGAGAGATTAATGTTTTTCTCATTTCTTCCACGTATGGACACAGTAAACATTTTTCTTTCCTTTTCAAAGTTATAAACAACCATTATTTTTAAGAGAATAGCCTTAGAATCAAAAGGGGAAGAAATTATATTTCTTCTTCACACATGAACAGACCCTCTGCACTTCTTCTTCTCTAATTTTCATCTCTCGTCTCAAAACACACAAATACACAAATTTCTTTCTTAAAACAAACAAGTGAATAAAAAGAAAACCAAACTTATATCCTTCTACCTCTCTTAAAGAAACAAATTTCAACAACAACCAGATAAGAGATGCACAACACCCATAATAGAAGTGAAAGAGTACTGGAAAAACTCACAGCGACTGTTGGAGAGCGCATCGAAGGGTGTTGCCAATGGAGCTTTCGCGTCGGATAGAAAAAGGCTGGCCGCGGTGTTTGAAGGCACGGGATCAGGGGCTCGCGGTTTGGTGGAGCTTTTGAGGCGTGGCAGCTTTCTCGAAGGATGACGGCGGGATTTCGTCGGTGGTTGAGTAGGTGCGTTTGGGCGGAGTGAAGCCTGCTGTTGTTTCGACGGTGGAGGTTGCGTTGCTGGGAATGGTCGTAGTGCTCCCGTGATTCCAGCGCGGCGGATGTCGCCGGCCGGTGGGGTTGTAGTTGTTGCTGATTCTTCTTCTTCCTATTTCTTTTCTACAAAAAACAAAATATATACAAGTATATTGATGTTGGTTTTGGGGATAAAGTTGTTTTGCTTAAGGGATGATGATTGGAAGTTGAGAGTTATAGTTTAAAATGACGATGAATATCGGCGTATCAAACCAAGTAAGGAATTGGGTGTGAAAAAAGATATATGTGTAGTGTTTTTGCAAACTACCTGTGAAAGAAAAAGTGACAAAAAGTTTGAAAATTGGTGAATGGAAATTGGCCTCTAGAGGTGCATCGTTACGGAACAAAAAATAGGGTTGATAAAATAAGTAGGTATGAAATCGTGAGTGTGTGGATATAATTTGTTATAATTTTTATTAAAATTACAACCATTAGAAAATCCTGATCATCTGGTTTAAACAATAATCAATTAAAATTATTTTAGAAAAATTGAAATTAAAAGGGAGGCTTCAAAGATTTAATCATCGGTAAAAAATAAGACAAAAATAATGATAAAAAGTTTTAAAAAAAGAGTTGAAAAATAGTGAGAAGGTAAATTGTTGGTGTGTAAGAAATTGAAAATTTGTGGTTGTGTGTGAAATTGTGAAACCGTACATGAGAAATTAGGAGTAACCAAAGTCCTTTTTATAGACCTGAATTAGATTAAAAATACTTAGGAAGTAAGTTATCTAAAATGAATAAAAAGCCCAAAGTCTGATCTCTAAAAAAGAAAAGAAAATTAGTAATAAAAAAGAATATAAAAAATGTTAAAAGTGAAAAATACGAGATTCGAACATGCAACCTCATACTTGCAAGCTTAACTCTTTACTAACTGTGCTATATTATTTATTCAAAAGAAAAAGCCAATTGAAAGTATATGAATGTGAGTAAGTATTTGCTATTATGAAATAAATTATTATATTTTTTAAATAGACTTGAAAGGGAATATTTATAAAACTCAAAATCTTAGCTCAAATAAACCAAAAGAATTTTAAAATCCAAGTTCGAAAATAATTTTAATCCTAGCACCAAGACGAAAAAATTTGGGGTATGACAACAGTGTACATTGATTCATAATAGGTTTTTCCCCCTAAATTAACGTTCCTTTTGACCAAGAACGCATAATTCTTTCAAGGATCATTAAATGTAACTTCTCATCTATTTATAGAGAGTGCGTATGTTCTCTCTTTCATCAAGAGTACTCATCATCATAATGGGTTTTGTTCGGGTATGGGTAGGTTGTGTATGGGAATGGTGTTGTGAAGGCTTCCTTTGCCAAGTTTTAGCTAAAAAGGGGGAGAAATGTAAAGGTGATACTAAGCTGGAGGTTGTGTCTCAGAATTTGTCACAAAGATGTTGGATAGAATATCATATCTCATGTCTGCGTGAGCTAAGCTTTATAACTTATGATATGAGTTATGGATACAATTGTGACCTGTGTTCTGAGTTACCTGAGGTGTTGTATGGATACTTCTTAAATTTCCTTTTATGCCACAAGTTGACTGGTGGTTGCTGCTTAAGGGGTCTATTTTTCTCCATAGTCCTCTTTTTCCATCACATGAGGGGAAGATTTATCCCTCTGTGACAAGCTATGGTTCTTGGGTTGAGGGAGAGTGCATGCTATCATCTTCCTCGTCTAAATCAAGTGCATCAAACAACTTCAGAACTTTCCTTCCTTTTATCCCGAGGTTGTTGTTCTATGATGCTGATATTCTTGTTACTTCAGTGGAGCTAATTCAAAGTGCTTAAGAGAAGATGTCGAACAAGATGTCCTGACATCTCATATGAAGATTGACTCCATTGTGTTATACTGTAATATTCAATAATTGTTGACGACTATTGTTGAAGAATTGTAATTTCATATTGCTGTAATCTGGGTTGTAATTTTATATGTATTTGTTTTAGCCAAAATTTTCCAAAGGGAAAGATTGTTATTTCTCTAGTTTTAGGATTGACATTAATTTTTGTAAAATATATATTAACAGTGTAATACGGTGGAAGAACTGACTTTAGGGTTTGCGTTTTATTGCAAATGTTTCGGATAGCAAGAGTCGCCACCGACTTTTCCTTTATCCAATAAAGGAAAGAGTGAAAAGAATAGGAAAGACCTTTTAATAATTTTTCTGAGTAAGGGGGGTAGGTTATGAAAAGGGAAAGTGTTATAACCCTTTTTATCTGTAGTTTTCTACGGGCTCTTAATCGCCAGCTCACTTTGAAAGTGCTTTTGTGTTTGTGTATGTTTGCAAGTATTTTGAAAATGCCTAAGTGCGGCTATTTTGTAATGATTCTCGTATCGTTGAGAATGTATACAAAATGTTTGTTTTGAAAATATTTGTTTGAAAGAAAGTATTTGTTTTGTGGAAAGATGTTTTGAAAATTCCAATGTAAGGAAATTTGTTTTATAATAACCCTTGTATCAGTCCTCAAGAGTGTTTATAAAACATTTTGAAAGTAGTTGTTTTGAAAGTGCAAAGTGTGGAATTTGTTTGAGTTTGTGAGAAAGCGATTACGACCGATCTACCTACTCGAAAAGTTTTTGTTCTTTTCCTCCTCCTTTAGATAGTGCTACCCTACTATTTGTAAGTAGGAAGCCCTACCATTGGACGTGAGGGACAGGCGTGGGTCATCGTACAGTCATACAAGGAAACTTGTAAGACGCTTTAGCAATTGTCGTAAGGGACTAAGATCGTTTACTGAAGGCAACATCAAAGGGTCATCGAGAGACTATGATCTTTTGACCGAGGGTCTTTGCTAAAACATCTCACATTCGAGGGACATGACTGTTTAAATCTAAAGACAACAAAGTAAAGGTAACTTTAGAGGTGCGTGTGTGCAAAGTGTTTTGACTTCAAGTATTTGTCTTTGAGATTAGGTTTTCTAATGATTGGTTTTAATCTTGCCATACAAACCCCTAATTACTAACCGTAATAAGGAAACCAGTAAATTGCAGAATTTAAATATTCTACAATATTACAAGGCCTTCGGAATGGGGATACAAATTTGTAAATGAGGATGTAATGTAAAGAAGTCCTAATTAAAGCTATTATAAACTTTGAGCATTTATAATATTGGAAAATATTTATGCGAAAGTAATGTGCGCGAAGATGGTGAAAATGGATAAATGTTTAAGAAAAAAAACCTAAAAATTCTATGTGATTAAATTAATTGAACTTTATTTATAAATTAATTATTTACAAGAAAATAAGGTGTGATTAAATTAATTAAACTTTATTATCAAAAATTAAGTTAACTAATAAAAATCTAAAAGAATTCTAAGTATTAAAAAAATATTTTGGTATTTTATTTAGAAAAACTATATGAAGTATAAAACTTAATTCTAATTAAATAAAATCAAAGTGATTAAATGATCAAAAATTAAATTAACTAATTAAAAACCTAAATCTAATTTTTTAATTATTTTTATGATTTCCTCATTTTAAAATAAAATTATTTAAAGAAAAGAAAAATAGCTAATTAAAAAAAACAACAAAAAAGGAATTTAGATGGGCCTGAGTGTAAAAGCAATTAGGGGGTGAAAAGAAAGCAAAAATTCGAAGCCCAAGATTGACAAGCCCAATGCATGTTTGATCCAGTGGTGATAGTCCTTGATGGTTCATCATGGGGACACGCATGTAGTGTGTTGGATCTGATTGTATGATGATCTAATGGTTGAGATATGGGGATGTACCACGCGCGCGTTTGCCTTGCTTACATGGGATCTGTAGAGAAATGTTAGAAAAATAAAATGTCAGAGGTAGGGATCGAATCCCTTCCTTGGCACAGTAACGCCCTACACACACACGCTTGCCACTGGGGTGGTTGTTTCATCCGGTTATGAAAGAACCACCAATAAATATATTATAATCTTGTTTTCAAATATTTGAAATGCCAGCTTCTTCTTCTTCCTCGCGCCAGACATCAGTATCACCATTTTTTTTATTTTCAAACTCTTCCATTTCTCAATCATTTAAAAAAATGTAAACATGAAAGTTGCTTGATTTTTCACCATGAATTTAACCATGTAACTCTCAAAAGCTAAAGATCAAAGGTTCGGGTGAATTTTGTTTGGTACCAAACTAAAACCTAATTTTTTTCAGAAACTTCAACTTCAAAATTCTCATCACACAGTTAACATAAATGAAAACTAAAGACATGGTTAGCTTCAGGGCATTAATATCTACATTTTTACTTTAGAAAATAAATGCAAATGATGCTTGTACAGAGATTTCAAAGTTTAAAAAACTTACCTCTAAAGTGAGAATCGAGTTTGAAGCTAGAGCACTTCTGGAGGTGTTAGGATGATCTGGATAGCTTCACTGAACTTCCAGGAAGTTTTTACAATGCTTACTTTGTGCTGAAAGTGTTTGAATCACTCCAACCAAGTCCGGTTGCAAAGCTCTGTTTTTGAGTTTGGAAGATGATGAAGATGGTGTTACAATGATGAAACATGTCTTTGGATGAGTTCTATATGAGTTATAGAAACTTTGTAAATGATTTAGAGTGAAAACGCACGAGCGGATTGAGTGTTTGGTGTTCAAGGTCAGAAGTTGCAACAAATGGAGTTTTATATGTAGCTTCTGATTTCGAGAGGTTTTTGAGGTTGTGTATTCGTGTTTTAACTTGTAAATAACCTCTCTATTTATAGAGAAAAGGTTTGAGGGCTTAAAGTAACCAGAATTTCAAGATAGCATGTTATGGTTTTGAAGCTTGGTTTTGAAGTAACTTGGAGAAACATTATTTCAATGCATAGTAGGGTGGTTGATAGGCTGTAGATGGTTGCTTCTTGGTGCTAAAATGTTTTGAAATCAGAAGCAACAATGTATAGACTCAAGGAGAGTTGACATTGTGTATAAAATCACTTTATCAAAATAGCAATGTGACATTTCTCCCTTAAATGGCAAGTAAGCTTGGACAAAGCTTTAATCACTTGGATCATAGCTCAAAAGTTTGTGTAATCTACTGATTATGCACTGATTTGGAAGTTAAAAGCCTGTAAAGTAAGATTATGCACCATGGCTTGAAGATTTGATCTTATGTTCATCACAAAAATGACTTGTATTTCAAGAATGGATGCCCAACTTCACGCCTTCTAATCTCCTAGCTCAAGCATAATAAAATTGTGTTTTTTGACATTTTGGAAAGCTTGAAACATTGTCTACAACTTTCATCTTGACCACTTTGGCTAAATCAAATGGGAACTTTGTGAAAAATGACCATGAAGTTGGGACAAAAATCTGATCCAAACTTGTAAAAAAAATTCTATGTGTTAGACAAAAAACATCATAACTTTATGAACTTATATCTCTTAATCCAAGAATTTTTTTAGGATCATCCCACATTAACAAAGTTATATAATTCATCAATCCCTACAACTTTCATGTTGAAAGTTTTCC